CCCACAAAGGTACATAAATTAATGCAATCATTAGTCTGACATAAATGTTAATTACCAGTCATCATGCAACTAAGTTTATTATAATCATCCCCTCATTTATCAAGAGAAGCATGTTTTAGTCCTGACAAATAAAGTTCATTTCACCACTAAGCTTTAAGTCAACAAAAATTCCTTTCTTATTTGTAGGCTTAGGTCTCCTCCAGATATGCAATATAAGTTAAATGGATGGTAAATTGGGAGCTCTGGGAGCATAGTGGCTAAGGCACTTAACTGCTAACCAGAAGGCTGGAGGTTCAAACCCACCAGCCACTCCTCAGAAGGAAGATGGGGCAATCTACTTCCATAGTGATACTGCCAAGGAAACCCAAGGAGGGGTTGCTATGAGTCGGGTCTGACTCTACGGCACATAACAACAACAACAAAATTCGTAATGCCATAAAACCCCCACATTAATGGTTTATCTTACTTAACGTATAAAGATGCGTTTTCTTATCAGTAAAATAGGTCTTCAGATCTGCATCTGGCCTCTTAGCGTGTTTTTCTTCATATACACCCGTCTTTGGGTTTTTGTGTCGGAAGATGAAGTGCAATTTATAGTCCTCTCCACATTTATCTGGACCAAACATAATTGTGTAAGGGGTCTTGTCGTGGAATTGATCCTTCAGAGACAAAAGTGGATCATTTTAATGAACTCAGGCCTTTTAAGTATTCCAAAATAACCTTTATTAACCCTATGATATTTCCTCTTATAAAATTCCCAATAAATTAATACTGCAATTGATGATTACTTTATGAGACTTATTTTGATACCAGCAATTATCAGGAATTTTTTTTTAATGAGAAACTATGAACTGCTTAAAAGAAACAAAGTTATTCATATGGTTACTAAACTAAAAATTACACAGAACAGAAACCAGTTATAAAATAGAAATGGTTGGTAACAGCTTTGAAATTTATGTCTCAAATGAATGTCAAATAAATCAGTATTCCCAGTCCTCCAGAGATATTCTAAAAGATAACTGGAGATGATTACGTAAAAAAAATAGAAGTACCTACCAGGTTGAGTTCTGGAGTTTTAGAAAGCAGTTTCACATAGGCACCACCACATTCTATTCCATTTTGAAAATTAACCTCATACCTAATTTCAGAGAAAAAAAGCAGGAAACCACATGGCACTCAGAAAACTCCAATTTCTCTATTTTCTTTCATTGTATGTTTTATTATACCCTCCTAGAAAGGTTACATCCTATATTACTCTTGAATGGCTATCCAATCCCACAAAAATAAATAAAATAAAAGCTTAATGTAGATTCCTAATAAATATTTTTTACAAAAACCAGAAGTTCATTTGTATCAGGAGGCAGAACAGCCAGCTTGTTTCAAAATAATTTTGGGGGCAGGGAACCCCATTTAGTGGTACTGAAAATTACTCCTAAATCTCTGTACTATTTTATATAATCTCATCATTTTTTTTGTTTGTTTGTTTTTTAAACTTAATAGTTTGACAATATAATGTCTCCTGGGATCACCCTTCCCAAAAAGTTTCCATCAAAAAGCCATGTCACTTACTGGACAAGGAGAGGCTTGGTATCAAACAGGAAGGGCTTGTTCAGTTTAGCAGAGATGGCGTGATGCTTGGCCCGAGACATCAGTACAAGTCCTTTATCGCCTGGAAGTTTTGTCTCCTTCATCTCATCTACCTCCCACTTTCCTATAAGACAATACAAAATCATTCTACTCAACTATGACTTTGAAGGTCCTTTAAATGAGAATAAGGAAAACTCTCAAGTTGTATAAGTCTGTATAAAGCTGTTTAAGTATAAACTGACAAAATTTTATTATGTTTCAGTTACCTATAAGAGTTAAACTATTAATATTAAAATATACATGTATTTGACAATATTGTTGTTGTATGCTGTCAGTGCTGACTCAGTGACCCTGTAGAACAAAATGGAACTGCCCCACACGGTTTCCTAAGCTGCAACCTTTATGGGAACAAATTGCCAGGTCTTTTCTCCTGCAGAACAGCTGGTGGTTTTGAACTGCCGACCTTTCAGTTAGCAGTTGAGCACTTAATCATTGCACCCCTAGGGCTCCTCTGACAAATACCAGGACATGGTTTTTAAAAAATGCAGAACAGTCATTATCTAGAAAAGACTTCCCATTTCTAACACACAGTACCGTACGTGATAAAGAACTTTGCAATCTTATGGTAGAAAATGAACATTAAATAGGTCTAACTCTGTAAAATATAAGATAGCACAAAGGATGACAAAATCTTAAAATGCACATCTCCATTTAAGCCAGTCTTGAGATATCATGAAAACAAAATGCAAACTTAAATCAACTATACACCTAAATCAAATGGATCTCTCACCATCATATTTGGCAATTTCATCATCAGTGTCATCTTTCTTGGCTTTGGATAAAATCCACCTGTAATTAAGACAAATCCCAAAGTTTTAAGTCAAATCCCACTCATATAAGTGATAGGTGACCAGTGAAAAGAAACCATGTAAATGCTAATAAAAGCAAGACCTATACTTTTAAATCATCTGTTGTTCTTAGCCTACTCAGACACTCTACTTTCAACTTTTACATTTGTCATACAAGAAGTGATAATACATTATACTCAACACAGAAACCTATAAAAAAAAAGTATCAGACAATTCTGATTTTTTTTTAAGACTCAAGAGAAAAAATTTTTTCTCAGAGAACAAAAAAATTGAATAGAAGGGAGAGAGGAAGGAATAAAAAGCAAAAACCACAAGTTGCAAAAGATTATTTTCCTAAATGGATATAACAGACACTGTGGATATAAAATAAAAATAGTTCAGCTATTTCACTATATAAAAAGTCATTCAAAGGGTGAGAGGGAAAGGAAGCACAATGCTTAGCAGACAATGAGCATCTGTTAAGCATGAGAGAATAATTTGGTAATGGTTAATGCTAATGACTCAACATGATGATGAAGGTAATTTTACTGACTTACACATGTGAAGATTGTAGAAATGGTAAATGTTCTGATACCAATATATTTTCTACATTTTAAAAAAAAGTTACCCAAAAAAGAATCCTTTATCCCATATCTCATTTAGATGCCATTTCCCCTAAGAAACACTTACCCTGACAGAGTTCCTCTGTCAAAGGAATCAGCAAAATATACTTCCCCTGTTGGAACTGGAGCTTTGTAGGTAACCTGTGTTAAATATAAAGAATTAAGAACTGAAATTTTCAATGAACATTCCTTTCACAGTAGGAATTATTTTCTTGGTTTGCTTTCAACTATCGCAAAAACTTTCATAGTTGGCCTTTGAATTCAATCCAAATAATTTACTTTTGGCTGCCAGAGATTATTAAGTTACTTTAACAAACTCTGCTTTCCCCTTGAAAAGGACGCATATTTATTTTCATACTTCGATTAACTTAAGAGGTAAAAAAGAAAAAAAAAAAAAAAAGAAAGAAAAGACCCAATGACTATTTCAAACCTTTGGAGATGGAGGAGTAATGGTATCTGGTTTAGATTTTGAGTCTTCTACTTCTTCAATAACATCATCGAGGTCATCCTCAATATCAATTACATCATCATCATCATGTCCATCATGAGCTTGTATGGCAGCAGTTCCAAGTACCAGTAACAAACACAGCAACCACTTCCCTTCCATGGTCTACACATAAGAAAGAATAAAGTAAGTTGAATGCATTGCCCTCCATTTTGAGTTTTATAAAGACTACTAAGTGGCTAAGACACTTGCCTGCTAACCAGACGGCTGGCGGTTCAAACCCACCAGCCACTCCTCGGAAGGAAGGTTGGGCAATCCTACTTCCGTAGTGATACTGCCTCGGAAACCCAAGGAGGGGTCGCTATGAGTCGGGGCTGACTCGACGGCACATAACAACAACAGCAACAAGACTGTCTTTATTTAAAATTAAGGCCTTCAAATCACAAAAATAAAAAAGGAAATTTAGTGTGAGTCTTTCATTTTACTGATGAGGAAAGTGAGCCCAGAGAGCTTAAGGGACTTTCCTTAATCAGCTAGTTAAAGACTGAACTTCAAAAAAACTCAAACATAAACAATTGTGCCCATACAGAACATATTGGCTACGCAGACCCTAAGGTATTCAAATACAATTACAAATACCTACTTGCATCTGTAAAGCATTTTTACAATGGACAAAAGTCCTTCCACATTATTAATTTATAACGGATTACTAATTAAAACAACACAGTGAAATAACAAAGAAGACAACTTGTCTCACATTGAAGACCTAATATAAATGCTCCTACTGTTCAAAGACCAAGTGTTGACAAGGCTTTAAATTAATGTTTTAAAATTCAACAACAAAAATTTTAATTCAAGGACCTAGCTGCCTGCCTTTCTCTCTTATTTCCCAAGCATTTCCATATGGATGGGAGTGGGTCTGCCACGAACATAGTCTCCTTCCAAAGACCACAGATCTGAAGATACATATATATTAAAAAAAATAAGCCACACAATGCACAAAATGATTCAGTAGTAGTTGGATTTTTGTTTTTGGGAAGTAGAGCCAAGAAAGTGGTTCCAATCAAGAATTTGTATAAGAAAACCAGAAGATATATACACAGGGTATCCTTTGTCCTTTGTCCTCACCATCAGTAAATCAATCCTAAACTTTCATTCTTTTCCATTAACAGTATCAATATGCTTACTGGTGCCATTTATTTCTATGGTCTCCAGCTTCTTTTTCCTCTGTGAAGCCATCAAACACCCAGATGACAGACTCATCACAAAAAAAAGCATCCATTTTGCTAGCTAACAACCGAAGCCCTTTCTCTCCCTCTCATCCTGCTCCACGTGGTATTCCTCCAAGAATCCACCACTTTAGTTGAGATACTTCTCACCTCCTGTATGCACACCTAAGATTGTTATTCATTTTCCCCTTGTTTTCCATTAAAACATCACTTAAAAAACAAAACACTAAACACACGTCACGAGTATTATTCCCCTCTTAATTTTCTCTTTACAACATTCTAGAAATTCTGCTTAACTTTCTTCCCAATTGCCAAAACCCACTTTCCCTACCAGGTTACTTCCACCCAGGGTGATTATTACTCCTTTCTGTGCTCTAAAGTACATAAGCCTCAAGTTTTAGCTAATGATCACCATGATAAAGACATTGTAACAAGAATATTCAAGTTTGAAAACTTAGAATAAAATGTTTTTAATGACGTTTTCACTAAAAGGGTAATCCAATCATAATCACGAGTAGTATTCAACAGACAAGCCCTGCCTAACACGTGTTTCTATATATACTTTACAAAAAATGGTGTCAAAAATTTTTATCAAAATATCAGTTATGGATCGAATTATGTCACCCAAAAATATGTGCTGTAAATTCTAACCTCTATGCATGTGGTTATAATTCCATTTGGGAATAGGTTGTCTTTGTTATGTTAATGAGACAGGATTAGTGTAGGGTATATCCTGAGTGACTCTAGAGATGCTGCTGTTGTTATGTGCCATCCAGTCAGACCTGACTCATAGCGACACCTCCTTGGGTTTCCGAGGCAGTAGGCGGTATCACTATGGAAGGAGATTGCCCCATCTTCCCTCCGAGGAGTGGCTGGTGGGTTTGAACCACCAGCCTTCTGGTTAGCAGTCAAGTGCCTTAGCCACTATGCTACCAGAGCTCCTTCTTTTGAGATTTAAAGAGCAAGTGAACAAGCAGAGATGGAAAACTGATGCCAAGCCACATGGAGATCTTTTCAAGGAACTAGAAAAACAGGAGTTGAAGAGATAAGGACCTTCTTCCAGAGTTGACAGAAAGAGAAACCCTTCCCCTAGAGCTTGCACTCTGAATCTGACATCTAACCTCCTAAATTGTAAGAAAATATATTTCTCTGTGTTAAAGCCATCTATTTGTGGTACTTCTGTTAAAGCAGCACTAAATAACTAAGACAGGCACTAATACTAAAGCAGGACTTCAAACCGGTTCAATCATGGCCAAAAGAAACAAGGGCAGAGAATATGCATTGCACAGCAATCAAATCTCTTGCACATCAGATTTTTACTTCGGTAGGAGCTCTGTGATGCAGTGGTTAAAGTATTTGGCTGCTAACCAAAAGGTCAGTGATTTGAATTCACCAGCCACTCTGCAGGAGAAAGATGAGGCAGTCTGCTTCTGTAAAGATTTAAAGCCTTGGAAACCCTATGGGGCAGTTCTACTCTGTCCTATAGGTTCGTTATGAGTCAGAATTGACCTGTGGCAGTGGGTCGGGTTGGGTTGAGTTAGTTTGGGTTTAGGAAACAGGCAGTAGTTGGCCATCTATGAGCTGGGCACCACCACCTATTTCTTACTAGGTCAAAATCTCATACTCAAGAGATTTGGTTGCTATACATACACTGTCCATTGGCCTTGACTGAACCATTTCAAACTTGTTCAAAGCTCCACACTAAAGAACGAGTTCATTTTGATTTACAGCAGTTGGCAACTGGTTTTTATAAAAAGCCAATACTAAAAGAGAGTAAAAATTTTAGGTTTTGTGGGTTACATATGTTCTCTCTTGCATATTCTTTTTTTTCTCTCCAATAACAGTCCTTTAAAAATGTAAAAACCATTCTTAGTTCATAGTTTGCCACAAAGATGAGCTTCCTCCAAAGTTCTTCACAGTTTATGGTGCTATGTTGTTGTTGTTGCTATTCTTATGTGCCGCTGAGTCGGACACAACTCATAGCAACCCCTCCTTGGGTTTCTGAGGTGATATCACTATGGAAGTAGATTGCCCAACCTTCCTTCTGAGGAGTGGCTCAGAATAACAAGTTGGTGATTTTAACTTCACTCATCCTTAGTTCCTAATGTGTAAAATGGGAGTAATACCTCACATGAGATTTACATGAAGCAAGGTATGTGGAAGAGCTTTATTAAACTTTATTTAATATAATGACATTATATATTATTTTGACAGTAGAAAATAGAAGGCTTTTCAACAAATAAATGAAATTTCAGATTACAGATATTACTCAGCTTTATTAAACTTTAATTTTGTGAACACAAGTCTCAAGATACCTGATTAAGTGAAATACCACCAAACAATACCTTAAGTCTAGTTCATGAGGTTTGAGTTACTCACTGTAAAGCATTAAAGTTTATAAGGAATTTGGCATTAAACTCAACCTTGAATAAGTTGATATATATTATATATAATATATAATGACATAATAATATTGCTTTGTTTGATTTACAACTACAA